TTCTGGTGTTTGGTAACACAAAAATTATGTAGATCTGGAATTGATAGTGCAAAAAATGAACTAGAATTGACAAAATTCAATTCTATGGAATTAAATCCCATGGAATTTCAATTCCAATTCAATTCCAATTCCATCAATTCCGTATACCAAACGGATCCTAAGAGATTCTGGGTTCAAACCTCCATGGAGTCAAGTTTTGGAAAAAAATTGCGAAAAAAAGGCTGGTCAGACCGGTCCGACCGGCCGGTTCTTATCGGTTCAAACCGGTTCGGACCGGTTCGAAGCTCATTACGGTCCAATGGGCCGGATCAGACCGGTTGGACCACCGGTTCGCCGGTTCACGGTCCGAACTGGCCGGTCCGGTCCGGTTTTTAAAACTATGTGCGAGAATATGTTTTTATGGGCGAGCCTTACTCTATTAGTGCGTAGGGGTGGGCAATCGGGTCCGGGAACCGATAGTCAAAACCAGACCGCTAGGTTCGGTCCGGGTTAGGGTCGGGTCCTCTTTTCAAATATTTCAAACGGTCCGGATCGGTCCGGTTCTTACAAATTTTAGGGTCGGTCCGGTTCCTCATTTTGAAATTGTATTGGACCCGGGCCGAACCGTTTTTTTAAATCCCAATATTATTTTTAATATTATTTTTAGTAAATATATGAATATATGGAAATATACCCACCTAAGCCCTTCAATCTTTTGGTCCTTCCAATCGCAGGCAGAAACGTAAGAAAACCTTTCATAGCCAGAGAGTCGGAACCCATGAAGACTGTGAATTTTGTTCTTTTTGGAACCCATTGACATTATAATGCCAAAATATGGTTGTCTTCTTTTTTATTATTGTTGTTGGATGATCATGGGGTGTACACTTTACTCTCAAACCCCTCTTTGTCATTGTTTTATTTTCATTTACGCCTTTTTTATGTTGGATGACTTAAATTAATTTATTATCCCTTTATTTTTCTAATATTAGTATCATGATAGGTTCGGACCCGTTGACCCGTGGAATCGGCCCGTTTCAAACAAGCCGAGTTAGGTCCGGTTTCAATTTTAAAATTTTGAAAACCCGTTCCGGCCCGGACCATTTTAAAAAAACAAGTCTAGTCCGGTTTATACAAATCTTGGCTCGGACCGACCCGTGCCCACCCCTATTAGTGTGTGCGTACACGAGAAAAAAACCATATACTAATTGTGAAAAATATTTTATATTTTAAATTATTAGGTATTATTTTATAAATAGTACATTCAATTTAGAGTAAATTCTATAATTGATCTTTTATAACACATGGGTTTCTCTATTTAGTCCTCTATTATCAAATATTACCCAAGTGGTCCTTCTTTTATGGGTACCTTTCCACAAATAGTCCTTTTTTGATCTTCTATCATATTGGTGTTAATTTGAGGGCTAAAAGTGTAATTTCACAATGATAATATATCTTTTTTGTCATACACAATTCCAAAGGCTGTTCCGTTTGCGTCGTTTGTGAATTACAGTCACTTTTTATGACAACTATAGTCTACAATACAAATGTGATCTTTCGTCAAAATCCTAGCCCACAATCATAGTCATTATTTTTGTGTTATCCGCTTAACCAATATCAGAACACGTCACTAGACATAATGTTGACGCCAAATTATACTTTTAGCCTTTAAATTAACACTAACACGGCAGAAGATCAAAAAAAGGACCATTTGTGGAAAGTTACCCTTAAAAAAAGGACTACGGGGGTAATATTTGATAATAGAAGACTAAATTAAATATGGAAACCCCCCTATTATAAAGGACCAATTATGGAATTTACTCTTCAATTTATTAATATTTTCATTTCTATTTAATTTACATAGACATGCAAAATATAAAAGAGAGAGTATTCGAGAGTACTATGTTCAATAAATAATATGAGAATGAAAGATAATTAGAGAAGATGAGAATGAAAGAGAGTAAATTGTGCACATTAAGATCAATTAAACATCTTCAGATACCTCCTTATCAACTGCATTTGTTGTAGTGTTAGCTGGAATATTTTCAAAATTACATATCATTATTTTTAAGCAACGCGAGAGCGTACCCTAGAAATCATGACAAATAGTTGTCTGTGACTGAAAACTAATTCTTTCAAGAACAGGTCAACATGAGAAAGATTGTCCTTGACTTTTGTTTATGGTAATTACATACGATATCATGATCAAAAATTATCTTCTTTGAAACTTAAATGGTAATATTGTGTTTGAAGGAATTAATGAAACTCGCGGGATCAAATGAGCTTGTCCTGTATTTATCCTTGAATTATTTTTGCTTCCAAACAACGGTTACCAAGTCTTATAACAATTAATTATATTCAATTACACAGATCGTTAGCATGATTGTCACCTCATATTTTATAGAATTTTTTTATATATTTTTACAGAATGAAATCTCTTTTGTCCTTAGAATGAAATCGAACTACACATTGTCCAGGTAAAGTCTATAAATTCCCTCAGAATGAAATCGAACTAATTTGTCCTCTTTTGTACAGAATGTAAAGTCTATCTACACAACACCACACTACTTTATAAATTCCCTCAACGCTTCTCCTTGTATTGGTTTTAGGTAGAATCGTAATATCTTGATATCTTGTTAAAACCTCCTCAAGTGTCAATAACCTTGATCAAAGAAAATAGTACATGTTTAGAGATTTGTGGTTTAGACTTCTTACATTGACTCTATAATTTCTTTGATCCTTACTTCAACCGCCATCATTCATGTATCTTGTTGCTTCATTAAAAACCTTATCAAGCAATAAAATCATATGGAAAAAATAAATCTTGGTCGATGAGACGCGTTCAACAGTGTATTCCGTGCAGGAATCCGAGTTATGAGACTTGGTGACTTAACTGCCTCAAGAGTGAAAGGACAATTAAGTAAAAGGATAAAAAAAATTATGTCATGGAATCAAAATAACATATTCAATATATGCATCGTTGGACATATCTCGTAAAAAGATGACCAACATATTGTTTGTCAAGTTTGGAATTATGAATAAACAGTAATGAGCGTGATAAGTGTTATATTTTAATAAATAAAGGAATTTATTTTATAATATAATAATAATAATAAGGTTGATGCTAAATCTACCCCCTTATTGACTAAATCCTTTCTATTTATAAGAAATAGACACCTTTGCCCTTTCATTTCTTTCTTTTTCTACAAGCATTAAGGCTAAAATTGCCCATTTGATATTAAAAAAGAGTGGATATAACCAAATGTGGGGTGAATATTTACCAATAAGGCCATACGGTGTGCTATGCACGAAGGAGAAAAGGGATGCCACCTGGTGCAAGAAGGGAAGGGGAACATCGCCCCCCTATACAGGAATGGTAAAGACGAGTTTCCCATCCCATTTTTCTTATTTTCTTCTTTTTTGGGTTTCTTCTCTTTTGCTTCTTCCTTCCTTCTTCTTTCTTTTTTGTGTTGCTTCTTTCTTTTATCTTTTTTGTTGCTTCTTTTCCTTTTTTTTATTTTTAGTTTTTGATTTTTTTAGTTTTTTAGTTTTTTTATTTGAGTTTTTGTTAGTTTATATTATTTAATTGTATTTTATATATTTAGTTTAATTATTTTAATTAAGTTAAGTATTAAAATAATATTAAAAATTAAAAAAGTAAATTTTTATTGTTTTTATGTTTTTAGTTTAATTATTAAAATTAATATAAGTGTAAAAAATAGTAGTAAAAATTGAAGGGGAAAAGGAGAAGACATTTTCATGAAAAAGACAAGAGAGGGGAAGAATAAGTAAAAAATGGCGTGGTGCAAAGCTAGAAGAATGGGAAGAGGAACTTCTCCCCTAGCTTGAATGGCAGGAAGCTCACTCCTGAGGATCTATACTCCTGAGGATCTATGGGGAAATTCACCTAAGTTCGAATCCCAGCAGAGGTGATAGTATTGATTCTTTGTGTGTCATTAGATTGATAATAGTATGAAGAAATGCTACCTTGTAATAATGTAATATAGTCAATAACATTAAAAAAAGGAAGAATGTGAAGAGCGGAGGAGGGGAAGCATGGCCTAACCCAATAATAATACGGAGTATTAATATTACAATTTGTACTCCTCTTGGAATTTGACCCAACTAGATCAGGCAAATCAGTCGGTCAGGTCGAGTTCGGGTAATTTCTAGTTCGGGTTGAGAACTCTATATTCATGACCCAATATCATCGAGTTCGGATTTACCCAACAGGTTATGACTTTGGTTTTTGAAATTTTTAAATTCATATTAGTACTTGCATTTCACATTAAATAAAACTAAAATATGAATTCAAAAAAAACTAAAATATCAAAAAAAGATGTAATAAATGTATTATACTCCATATTACATTAATTTAAATTCTGAAGTAATTTTTAGTTATATAAATCAATATAAAAAAAATACTTTTTTAAAAAAAAAAAGAGTAAGATAATTATGTAATGCCATTAAAAAAATTCTGAAAATATAAATCCATACACTAAAAATGAGTAGTAAGAAAAAATTAAAATTATTAGCTTATTTTTGTAACATTATATTTCATATTAAAGTATATGATTTTGAAAAAACTTTTAAATTAGCGGGTCGTTCAGGTCAAGTTCAATTAAATTTTATCCATTTTTAGCAGGTCATTTTGGGTTCGGTCAATTTCGAGTTGAGTCCATACAAACTTTGTTCCATACTCAATATTATCGAATCAGATTTTTTAGAGACTTAAAACCTAACACACTAGGTAAATATATAGGACCATGCTACACTTACACCAACAAATATACCCCATTTGTACACCACAGGTTTGCACAAACATTTCGATGGTTTACACCGACATAAGTGTTGGTGCGTTAATAAAAATTCACACGGACACAAATGTTGGTGTGTTTAACAAAAATTAGTTTTACACCAACACAAAATGTTGGTGCAAAACTGCGGGGTACAAATTGGAGTACAAATCTTGGGGTACACATAGCATAATTCAAATATATATAGGGACTACTGCACGTCCCTCCTTTTAGTTGATCAGAAGCATCAGTCCTTCGCAGGTCAACTTTCTCTGTCTTCTTCGTCGCCGCCAGCACTTGAGACTTAGAGGTTTTGATTAATCGAGGTAAGTGGTGGTTTCTATACATATTGTTAGTTAATTCCTAGATTAGGACTTACTTAACGTATATTCTTGCGAATTGATTGTGAAATTGGTTGACGAATTGCTTGAAATGAATTTGGGGGTTTCTTGTTGGGGTTTTCAGGCGGTACTGCCGCCTAGTCCGGCGTGTTCGCCGGCGGTGGGCTGGGAGAGGCAGCTGAGCGTATAGTCTTGCGTGTAACTTCCCTCCCACCCCATTAGGAAATTCAAGACTAATAAAATTAGCCTAATTAGAATTAACAAGGTTCATATTACCAAAAGTTTACGAAATAAGGATAGAACGTATTGAACAAAAAACTATAGGCAGTTTTTTACGAGTATTTTTTATTTTTTCCAAAAACAAAATAGAACAGTTGTGAAAATTAAATTTCAAATTATATTTTTATGTATCTCGCTGAAGGCTTAAATTTACATTTTGGGTAGGGCTGATAAAGGTTAGGTCAAGTTTGTCAAAAAAATCTTTTCCGGATAGGAATTGGACAGATTGGAAACTACTCCCTCGGGTCATTAAAACCCTTCCTGTTTGAAAAAGGGTGCTCCTAAAAAATGTGCAGTTTTTTAATTTTACCATTACCTTATGATAAGGTAGGATATGATGTAGATGAATCATAATTTGAAAATAATACCAAAATTAATAATTTTTAAGATGCAGAAAGTAATAAATTAGATCCGTCCCTTTGTTATGTGTGTTTTAGGTCACCGAAGCAAGGAAGATATTGGATTGGTTTTTGGCTTCTAAGAGTATTATCAATCAAACAATGTCGTCATTGTTTGATCTTGGTGATGAAGAGATTGATCGGCTGATAAAAGTGGCAAACAGTGCAGCAGAGGCAGCCGGGGAAATCGTGAATAAGTATTACTGCCGGAGACTGAAAGTGGACGAGAAGAACGGAGACGGTCCGGTAACAATGGCGGACAGAGAAGCCGAGAGAGCCATGGTAGAGATCATCCAAGAGAATTTCCCTTCTCATGCGATCTATGGCGAAGAGACTGGGTGGCATAACAGCAAAGAAGGCAATGAGAAGCCAGAGTTTGTTTGGGTATTGGACCCAATTGACGGCACCACTAGTTACATAGCTGGCCATGGATGCATCTCGCTCTTATTTGGGGTGCTGATCGGTTTAGTCTACAGAGGGAAGCCGTTTTTGGGCTGCATTGATCAGCCTGTTTCTGGGTATAGGTGGATGGGGGTGAGAGGGAGAATGTCGACATTGAATGGAAAACCAACTTCCACAGTGGCTTGTGAGGATTTAGGGCTCGCGAATGCCTACCTTAAGAGTCCCTATTACAGCGAAGATGCCGAGTTTGCTTATGATAAAACAGTGAGCAAAGTGAAAACCGTTGAGTACGATGGCAATTGCATTGCCTATGGAGCATTGGCTTCTGGATTCTCGGATTTGGTGATTGATTCTGGTCTTGACCCCTTTGATTTCCTGGCGGTGATACCGGTGGTTGAGGGTGCTGGCGGTGTTATAACTGATTGGCAAGGACGCGACTTGTTATGGGACCCTAATCCTGCCGATCCTTCCTCTGGTATTCCTGATGGAGGCTTCAAGATTGTCGCCGCCGGTGATCCCATCATTCACAGCCAAGTCATTGCCTTACTAGCTGATGAATGTTGAGACTTGTGAGTGACTTGCCTTATTTCTCCTAGTCCTAGCTAGCTTAATCATGCTATATAATACTTTAGTTTAGTACCGACTATTTACTGTTTGACTTTACGGTTACTGTTCTTGTTCTCTGTGGCTTATCTCATCTATGCGAAATTTTAAGGTGTCGTTGCAACTGTGTTGTTCTTCACTTTCTCTGCTTTATATGCCCTGATTCCCGTATTAAGGCATCTTTTTATATGATATTTGAGAGCATGAACATGTATGCTGAACACACAGTCCACAAGCTAGTACTTATCTTGTTGTTGTAATGTGATAGTCTCAAGGTATAGATAATGATCTCATTTACTTCAGCATCAGTGCTTAAAATTTCACTTGCCTTGGAGCTGATGGTTTTTTTTTTGCCCATCATCTAAATGTCCTAACTTTGGCATGCTTGCTGGATGAAATGTATTGGTGTGTTTCACTTGTAACGTTGCGGTGCACGAACTCATAGGCTTTATAAGTAGAGTAACGAACGAGAGAGGGACGATCACAAAATTCACAAATTTACTATTTATGGTTTAATTAAACCCTCATTTTAAAATTATTTTAGACTATTTTATTTTTTATTGAAGTTCACAAATAGTAAGTTTGTGAGATCTGTGATTATTTTGTTTGTGAACCAAACAGTTCTCTTGCATGCTCGTGCCACGTATAAATGCATGAGCAATTTATATTGTTACTATTAGGCTCTCTTCATTTCACTTCTTATTATTAACTGTTAACATTTTCTAGCTCCTAACTCTTTTCAATTTCTTTTAACTTATTTTTTTTCTAACTCTTCTAGTATTTTTCTAATTATTTTTTTTCTAACTCTTCTAGTATTTTTCTAATTGTTTTTAGTTTTTCCAATTTCCTCCTTCCAACTCTTTTCATATTCTTCAAATTCCTTCTAATTTCTAGGGACCACATTTAGAGGGGGCATGGGGTGTTGGGGTGGGGAGTTTAGGGGAGGGTTAGGGCTAGGAACCATTAGTTCTACGAATGGAGTACTATAAGCACTCCAACAAGGCAGTGGTATGGTTTCGTAATCCAGTGGCTATGGGACTGTGGTGTATTATTAATATATTATTATTATTATTGTTATTGTTATTGTTGTTGTTGTGTTGTTGTTGTTTTTATTATTATTATTATTATTATTATTATTATCACTATAATATAAAAAATTGATATAACGTCACAATTTATTTACAAAAATTATTTCCCAGATAAGTTTTAGTTACCATTATAAAGTCAATGTAATTACGGAAATCTTAAATTAACTAATTTATAATTCTTTTTATTCTTTTCCAACTCTCCTAGTTTTTTTTATAACTACTTTCGGTTTTTCTAATTTCCCACTTCCAACTCTTTTCATTTTCTTCAAATTTTTTCTTACTTCTAGTGACCACACATTTAGAGGGGGGCATGGAGTCTTGGGGTGGGGAGTTCAGGTGGATGGATAGGACTAGGAACCATTAATTTTGCGAATGGAGAATAAGCACTCTAAAAAGGAAGCGGTATCACCAGTGGCTCCGTAATCCAGTGACTACGACACCGTGGTGTATTATTATTATTATTATTATTATTATTATTATTATTATTATTATCATCATCATCATCATCATCATCATTATCATCATCATCATTATCACTATAACATAAAAAATTGATATAGTGTTACTATTTATTTGAAAAATTATTTTTAAAATAAATTTTAGTTACCATTATAGAGTCAATGTAATTACAAAAATCTTAAATTAATTAATTTATAATTCTCTTTGTGATTTTCAGGGGAAGGGTTAGAGCTAGGAACCATTAATTCTGCAAATGGAGTATTATAAGCCCTCCAAAAACATAGTGGTATCACCACTTCACCAGTGGCACCGTAATCAGTGGCTACAGAAGTGTGGTGTATTATTACCATTGTTGTTGTTGTTGTTATCATTATTATTATCATCATCATCATCATAATTATCATGACTATAACATAAAAAATTGATATAACGTCACAAATTATTTAAAAAATTATTTTTAAGATAAATTTTAGTTACCATTATAAACACTTAACAATTTACCATTAATTAAAGCAGCACAGACAAATACTCCATCCGTCCCTCATAGATCATCTCATTACGCGTTATGATGAGGCTTGACCAACTTTATTTTCAATTCAATTGATTTGATTGTAGGTGTAAAGTTGAAAAATAAAATTTATATAGTAAACAATTTCATGAAAAATTCTACAAAACAGGAGGTGATAAGACTATTATTTTATGAAATGACAAAATGAGTAGTAAACATAAGTAAATAAAGTGAGTGAAGTTTGACTATTTGAATAGTATTTGGAAAGATTTATGAAGGAAGGAGTAGTTGGTTGATGTAAAATATGGAGTAGTTAAAACACTATCTTCGGTTCAAGAAATATGATTATTGATGGTGTAAATTACCTAACCGGATAAACAGTACTAGGTCGGGTCTAGGATTGTTTACTAGATTCAAGAAAGTAAAAGGTAAAACACTCAAAATAACCGGTAGGACTGTAGGTGGAACACCTGTAGCCCAATTAATATTAAGAATATAATGGAATACACGAGAGCTTTTACACGGGAGTTTTAGAGAGGAGAAATCGGATCCCTTCCTTTGAGCGTTACACAAGTATTTATAGTAGCTAAAGGAGACAAGGCGCCGCTCATGGCACATTCTGGGATGGCGCGAGGTGACTACCTCTGTCCTTTAGCTGCCTTGTCACCTAGTGAGGAAGGTGGCTTCTTTGTCGCGTAGTGCTTTGGATGGATTATTCAATTATCTCTAATGATTCTCCGTTGATTATGGTCGCTATCGTCCAAACTTCTTTGGATTCTTATTTGCTGACAATTTCCAACCCTAGAAACCATACCGGGTGGTTTCTGAGGATCTAGTGAAATTAGGGATGAATGTGGGAACAAAGTAGTTTGACCGGTAAACTTTCCAAAGTGTACCGGTCAAATTTTCTATCAACCGAGTATTGTTTTGCTGGCGATTTAGATCTCCCATTCCGAAAAATCAATCTTGACCAGTTGACTATTTGAACCTCTTCTTTGACCGGTTCTGGGTGGTATACACCCATTATGTTTGGTTCAAAAATTTAAAAGAGAAAGGAAAAGAAAATAAGAAGAAAAACATTTTTCTTGTTTGGTTAGAGAAAAAAATGGAAAGAAACGTGAAACAAAAAAAAGAGAAGGCATAATATACTATTTTCTTTTTTTTCTTTCAAATTCTTTGAACCAAGCATAGTGGAAAGGAAAAAAATGAAAATAAAATTTTTTTATTTAGTAAGCAAGGAAAAGAAAGAAAAAAAACGAAAAGAAAAGAAAATGAGAAGATAAAATGAACTAAGAGGATGATCCATGAAAAATAACTTTAGTGAAAAAAATGAGAAAAAACACTATTTTCATTTACTTTTCTTACTAATTCCTTAAACCAAATATACCCCAAAGGTAATTAAAAGGCTTATATAGAATAGAAATCACTCTAAAAAGGACTAAAACATAGAAAAAATTACCAAAATAGGAGTTTCATATTTTTATTCCCGAAATAAGACATCGCAAACTAAGAGGATGATCCATGAAAAATAACTTTAGTAAAAAAATGAGAAAAAACACTATTTTCATTTACTTTTCTTACTAATTCCTTAAACCAAATATACCCCAAAGGTAATTAAAAGGCTTATATAGAATAGAAATCACTCTAAAAAGGACTAAAACATAGAAAGAATTATCAAAATAGGAGTTTCATATTTTTATTCCCGAAATAAGACATCGCACTGTGGTAATGTTGTTATAATGTGGTGTTGTACATGTGCACATTACTATACTTTTTGGTAATGTACATGACCATATTTGATAATGTAAATTCATTTTAACTCCTATTTCGAAAATAAAAACATGTAAGTGCTATTTTGATATATTTTCAATATTTTACTCCTATTTTAATCATTTTCTCGTATCACAAGTGGAAATCGCAGAGCAACCAAGGACAAACAAAGAGTGTTGCTTTTGTGGTTATAAAAAAGTGTTGCTTTTGTCGTGGGGAAGGTAGGGTTCTTCTTTATCGCTGCTTAAAAAAAACATCTTTAACAGATATGTTTGGGGGGTGTACACCAGTCCAGAACCGGATCGAACCAGAACCGAAAAAACCGGAAACCCGGAATCCCCTAAAGCATAGGACCAGAAACCGGACTGATTAGATTCCGGTCCGGTCTGAGTAAAAAACGGAAAACCCAAAATTTATTTTTTTTAATTCTTTTTGTCAACTTTTTATACTTGTTTTTCAAATGTGTAGCTTGATTTGAATTGATTTCAACCCGACATTTAATTTTTATATCCATTGGGTGTGTTTCAAGAAATTATATTAATATAAAATATTTTTATCAACAATATAATAGGTTTAAAATGATTTTTATACTTCCGTTAGTTTTGAAATTTCAAAAATATTATAAAGTTGTACTTTAAAGTATTTTGGTTTTAGCAAGTCTAATTTATATGTCAAAGTATTTAATACTTTAAATTGAAAGATTCTACTTCAATTTTTGGAAAATAATTTTAGTTTTTTATAATTATGGATATTCTTGGGTAAAGGTCAATGGAATGAATTAAAAATACACATTACATTTAAAAAATTATACTTCATACTACCTCCGTCCCATTGTCTTTGTCCAGTTTTGACTTTTGGAACTGTTTATCTAAGCACTTTGACTCATCAAATTCTCTCAATGTGTAAGCCTAAAAATAGTCATGTGTGATCTTGTTTGATTCGTCTTAACATATAGATTATTAATATATAATTTTTATAATTTTTTAATATACAAATTACAAGATAAAATGGATTAAAGAAGTACATTGGATGGTGTGCCAAAAGGTAAGTGGACAAAGACAGTGAGACGGAGGGAGTATTAAAGTAAGAAGAACAAATGAAAATATACAATTGTATTTGTAATTATATGCATACTCCGTATTATATGTATTTTTTTTTAAAAAAAATAGACAATCCGGTTTTACCGATTTAGCCCAGAACTGGTTTTTTCGATCCAATCCGATTTCCAGTCCGACCCGGATTTTGTACACCCCTATTTGGGGTTTTCACAAGGATACAAAAAAGCTGTGTGTATCCTTGAGAGCGGGTTGGGATTTCAAGAGGAAAAACGTGCAATAATAATTAGGTTGGGAGTAGGGCCAGGCTTTTTTCTTTGAATCGTTTTTTAAAGAAAAATGCTAGGGGTACACCAAATGTGTACCCCATTTGT